TGCCATGACCAATAAGATCGCTTCTCTCTAGCAGAGACAAGGCTGTCATTTTGTACTGAGCATTCAAAAGCTTCATGTCCACCCGTTGATGTTCACAGCTTGCTGGCTTCTTCTTCGTTTCAGCATTTCTTTTTCGTGAAACCTTATAGATATGACTTGCTGCCCATTGTGACTGCTGCTCTCCAGGAGCCAGGCTAGGCTCTCTCATGTCGAAGGAAATACATAAGTCGAAGTCAAAGGATCTACGGTACTCAATTTGGGCCCAAGCCAACAGTATTTTAGGTTCAAGTTCAAAACTGACTCTAGCCAGCTATTTTTGGCTCCGGCGAACAAGGATGGGCGACATGTTAAACATTTGGTAAGTATAGATCAAATTTAGAACATCTGTCCATTAAAACCATGACAATAATGATTACAATTACAATAATAATACGAGTCACTCCTGGTCGAAGAGACAAGATATGTACAAGCAGGCGATTCAACAAAAACCACACACCCACAGTCGCCCATTGCACTGTTGAACAGGTGTGGCACGATATATAGCATCTTCTAAAAACATCTCAAGCCTCGTCCAAACTGTGGTCAAAAATACCGTCCAAGAATATTTATAATTATAAGGACAAATTTTACGCTGGTTTTAAGTTAGTTCATTTCAAAACTTGAAGCTCTAGCCCCTGCTGGTTCTTCCTGGGGTCATTGAGTCATTACTTCAAGTATGTTTCTGGCAACATCACAAAACTTTTCACACAAGTTTCAAGAAATTTCACAACAACGATCCCAGCACCATACAATGACACCACAGCACCATATATGACACACCACCATATGACACCAATCATGACACACCACCATATGACACCAATCATGACACACTAGCATAAGTCACCAGTCATGACACGCCACCATATGTTACCAATCATGACACGCCACCATGACACACCACCATATGGCACCAATCATGACACACCACCCATGACACATCACCATATGACACCAATCATGACACAGTATTATTGGCAGCACTTTCCATGTACCTCCCATAAAGTTTTACAATGGAATCATTCAATAATCGGGAAATAAATTCTTTTTTATCCAAGAATTGAGAAAAAAAAAAGTTAATGACATTAAAGAATGCACAAAAACGGTAGGTAATGTTAAAGCAGAATACAACAGCTCAATTAACGCCGTGCTCATCATCATTGTAATGTTATAAGAATTTAAAAACAAAAAACAAAACAGAAAACAAACAAGCACAAAATATTACACAAATCCAAACAAAGCAGTGGCATTTTACTTTTACAGCACATTTAAATGAATGAAGATCATAAAGGTACTATTATTACTGAAAGTGCATGCTTAACCCTTTGGAGCCCTTGCCAACGATACACCAGTGCTGCATAAAACAGCCTGTATACCTAGCCACAGGTACCTAGGGGAGAGAGACCAGAACCCATCTGTAAACCGGCCCATCTGAGAAAAAACACGAACGGAAAAACCCCCCCAGCGTTTACTACACAAGACGATATTGATTATTCGAAAGATCTTTCTGAATTAAATGCTGGTGAAGACAAGGACTACCCCGAGGGGGATATGAAATGTGATTTTTTTTGGTAACGATCACATGAATGTTAGTACCATATCGCTCCAGGGCTCAAGCAGAGGGGCACCATAGCCTCAGGAGGCCAGGGCTCAAAGGTTTAAAGTTACGTTGCATTGTGAAGTCACATGGTCTCATAACCTCTCCATGGGGGCGTGAACACGAGTCTGATCAACAGATTATGTTTCGCGCCTACATGCAAGGGAAAGCTTTTAGTTTATTTATAGTTCGTCATGAAAAACAGCAGAATCTTTCATTAGGTATTCATTGGTCGGAACAATAAAACATTCAACAAACATCGTTCACGTACAATCATGATATCATCAGTCAAAGGAACAAAAAAGTCACATTTCTATTTTTTTTAAAAGCAAAAGCATCAGTTCACAAAATGACCCCATCAGTTCACAAAATGACACCATCAGTTCACAAAATGACCCCATCAGTTCACAAAATGGCCCCATCAGTTCACAAAATGACCCCGTCAGTTCACAAAACTATCCCTGAAAAACACAGCTCAGTTCAAAATTTGACAAGAAAAGACATCGAGCGTTGAGTGCGCTTGTCCTTCCTTCTACACTCAAACCTTTTTACAGACCAAACTACAAGGGAACGAGAAAAATAAACTGAATCTTTTTCAACCCAAACGTCTTCCTTGTCCCTGGGCTGTGCCACAACAAAGTGCCTAACTACTACGCCACAGACGCTGATGGACGAGCACACTTTATGCAGAGGACAAGTTCAAGGACACACACAACCAGACCGTGAAATAACAACAAGCCATCTCCCCCCCCCTAGACACTAAGACAGAGCGAAACATCCCCCCAAACTTTCAAATGTTATTGTACTCCGCTTCACAACTTGGAGAGCTTTCTTTATTTTTTTTTTTTTTTAGTAAGAGTTTTACGGCACTTGCAACGCAATAAGGTCATATAAGTGCCGAAGATTAGAGGTATTACAAGCGAGTAACAAACACAAAAAAGAAGGAGGAGAGAAAAGGACCATATATGTTTGATAGGATTAAAGAAGGAGCAAACCACACCAGAGCACCCGTCAAACCACCCACTTGGAGCTTTCTCTCTTCAAGATCTCCAACAAAGCAATTTATATTATAATTAATAATGTATCTTGGTATCTCGTAGGAGGGAAAATATGGCCATTAGTTATCAAGCAGACTTGCTCCACACTTCACATTGGCAATAATAAATATGTTTCAATTCACGGAAATATGAACATGATGCAGCAATCACTCAATTGAAAGACACTCAATATTTTACATTTTTTTGTACATATTTATACAGTTGAATAAACAGACCAACATACACGAGAGTATTGAACTTGACCCAGCAGAATCTTCCCCATCAGAAAAAACGTAGAACAAGGCATCTCACTCAAGAAAACAACCACAGCAACACTGTCACTTCTCTAGATCACCGACATTAGATGAACACAAGTATGATGCCACAGAAAATGATTTATCAGAATATTCCCACAGGGTACTTTACATTTTCCATTTAAAAAAAATAAAAATTAATATTTTCAGTTTCCCAGCAGCTCCGGCTGAAAGTGTCATACTACCCTGGGTCAGTCTTTGGGCTGGGCGATGAAAGCAAATACATCAAGTAAGAACATGGGTAAAGAAATCTTTGTGCAAACATCATCAAGTTCCAACGTTAGTGATGGATAGAAGGGACTCTATAGACAAACACCACCATAGGAGACACATGAGTTTGTTGTAATTTATGATGCAGCTATCCTAATGTTGTTATCAGGAACAAATATATCAAACTAGCTGGGCCCCCTTTCGATGAAAGGAATGATCGGCGGTGCCTATATGTTCTTACACTAACCGTTCTCTGGCCGTCTAGGCCGGTGCTTTAATATCAACTAAAAGTCATTGGCCTACTATGTTTACACTCTACTGGAATGGGGCAATAAATCTTGAGAGATGCAAAAAATTATAAGGTCTAGATCTATACTCTCAAAACAAAACGCACCTCGCGAAATATATCACTTCCGGATTTTCTAAAATTACAGAGACAGAAGCGTCGGCCTACAAACGCGATCGGCAAAATAAAGAAATTTAGCTTTTCGCAGCAAAACTGTCTCAAAACTGAAAAAACCAAGGGCGCCATGCTCTGGAGAATATTTTAAAGAATTTTTTGCCGAAAACCGCATGTCGATCGATGCAGCCATTAAAAAGCCCTTTGAATAGCAACATTCGGCCACCACAAATAGACAATAGATGCGTCAAATATCTGACGTGCAATGACGGAAAGGCAAAGTCAAAAGTTTACTATGTGAAAAGATCTTTTAACACAGTGGAATGTTTGGTCTTTTCTCCTGCACCTGCACCTGCACTGAAAGTTTTTCTGCAGTTCTTCAACACAAAATTGAGAGATGGACCGCCACCCCCCCTCCCCCCCTATCTTTTTGTTCTAGTTTCAGCAAAATACTTTGTGTATAGATCTAGCCAGCTGCATTTAGTGGGCCTACTATAGTATCCTAGGAGGGGAATCCCCTACCTGACTTATTATTAAGTCCTTACTATTGTACTGGAGCAGTCACAAAAATATTTCACTCAGCTCAGAGTCCAAGTCTCAGCCTTATTACAGCTCTAGGAACCCTCAACATTTGAGTACAGAACCAACACAAGAATACTTAGGAATTAATAAATACTTTACAACATCTGTTTTCTCCACAGTCCAAGGACACATTTCAATAAGTCATTCATTGGTTATCTCCATTTTTTCCACTATATGACAAAATTTTCTAGTGCATAAAGAAAGTCCCCCATTACACATTCATTTTGAATGTTTTCTTCAATCTTAGAGAAATTTCATTGACAAGTGAGAATTTGGCTCAAAAAGGACAGAAACCACAAATGTATAGCAGAGGCTCCTCTCACTTCTTCAGAGTAGTTATGAACTTGATGCATGATGAACACATGGGACTAAAGCTGGCAAATTATAAGTTCGGATAAGACTTGAAATATGCTCGGGCTCAAAGATGAGAGAGAAAATGAGAACACAGCTTATGGGGGGGGAACAACAAGAGATAAATAGGATGAACGAAAGATCTTCCAAGGCATGAGCTACGGACAATAGCAGGACATAAATGAAATGATGAATGACAAATTTCTGCAAGAATGAGCACAGGACAATAACAAGAGGGACATAGCAATGATGAATAAAAGATAATTTCCACAGGTATGAGCTACACTCCCCCCCCCCCCCTCAAAAGATGAATAAAAGATAATTTCCACAGGTATGAGCTACACCCCCCCCCCCCCCCAAAAAAAAAAAAAATTTTTTCCCCCGGTGTGGGGGCCCCCCCCCCCCCCCCCCAAAAAAAAAAAGGTGGATATAAAGGGGGTTTTCCACGGGGTTTGGGTTCGGCCCCCCCCCCCCCCCCCCCCCCACAACTGCTTCCCAGCAAAGCGGATGAAAATAAAACCAATGAGGAGGAGCAGAAGAAGAATGAGTCAGCACGATGTGAGCAAGAGGAATACACTGCTGCGGCACAACTCAACAAGAACAGTCCGACGACTTGTCCCCCGCGCCCACCCCGACGGCGGACTGAAGGCCGCGGTGCTGTGGGCTGCCCCGGAGGTTCACGCTGTCGTGTGGGCTCAGGCTGGACATATGCACGGGCATCATGGGCTTGGCGTTCTTCAGCTTGTGGGAGACCGTCATGAAAATGGCGTCCACGTGGTTGGCCTTGTCGTCGTCCTTGGCTGAGGTCTCGAACAGCGGCATGCCGTGGGCGTCGGCAAACTTCTGGGCCATGTTGGTGTTGACCGCGACCTTGTCCACCTCATCGCACTTGTTGCCCACCAGGATGCGGGGGATGTTCTTGTTCAGGTTGTGCCGGTCGCACTCCTCGATCCACTGGCTCATGTTCTCGAAGGAACTCATCTGTAAGCACAACAACACAAGCAGAGGCTCATTTACTGTCAGAACCACTGTGACTTCATAAATAACAACAGTAGTAAAATAATAGAACGCATTTACATATAGCGCTTTATCCCCTACTAGTATAAGCTCTGAGCACTTTACATCAGTCACACGATCACTGAGCTATTCTCACAGGATAAAATAAGAAACAATATCATGTCATCCCAAATAAATCATTCCGTGATACTCCTTGCTCCCCCCCCCCCCCCCCCATCATCCCGTGTACCTACTTCCTCTGAGCAGGAACAAAACAATCGAGATATACATGATCGAAATGGGGATGTTTGAGATTTGGGGAAAAAATACCAGTACATCCTGATTAAATCGGGAAGAGTGGCAGGCCTGGTTAGACTATGGTGACAAAGTCAACAAGTCTGAGGTAAAAAATCTGCTCCAACAATCCAATGATGAAGGTTTAGACCTAATCTATTTTAGAATGATGACGTCAACAATTAGAAAGTGAATTTTTAAAACTAGGTTGATCCCTTATTTCTTTGACAGGTCCCCGAGTATTTTCACACTGTCTTCAAGTCTTTGTTTGGTGTTGTCACGTCTTCATCTTTTTCACAAATTTAGCCAAATTTTCTCAACTAATTCATGAACTTTGCTTATACACAAACTTTAACACCAGCAGTGAAGTTTGGAAGGCGTCCTGTATAATTTGAAATGACCTACGTAACTTCCTGTGTGGTTTTCTGGAGGTATTCCAATTGCCCCATGACTCCATAATAAGTGTTGCGAGTACGGTTGAACCTTTCCATCACTGGTCACATATCATCTTCGAGAACAGCGTCCATTATACTTATAATAGGCAGGGTCTAAGTTATGGCCCACTCATTAACCTTGACAAAGTCAACAGATAGTAAAAAAATTGATGGTTGCCAATGCCTGCAATAAATGACGATAGCTGAAGCGAAGCTTACCTTTGTGATGTCATACACAAATATGACGGCATGAACATTGCGATAGTAGTGCTGCACCATAGACTTGCGAAAACGCTCTTGACCAGCTGTGTCCCACAGTTGAAGCTGGAGAAAATAGGAAGGAACAAAACTTTGTCAGACAGGTTCACAATCTAAAATTAATTCTCTAGGTAAATCTCAAAAGAAGACAAGTGTAATTTCTTCAACTTTAACCCAAAGAGCAATGACTGTCATGTGCATACATACATACATTATACATACATACATACATTATACATACATACATTATACATACATACATACATACATACATACATACATACATACATACATACATACATTATACATACATACATTATACATACATACATACATACATACATACATACATTATACATACATACATACATACATACATTATACATACATACATACATACATACATACATAC